TATAAATGAATAAGTTATATAATTAATCACACAATTAATAATAGTTGTTTTGTTGCACGAGTAACTTCTAGTATACATTTGTTTAACTTTTAAGAGAAATCATGTAACTTATTCAGCTACTACTTGTTAAGAGAAAATAAAAGTTTAGAAACTTCTTTAGTTTTAGAACGTATATGGGACCTACAACATTTGACGTATACATTATATAAGAACCATCAACTCATCAAATTCATTTCCTTATAGTTGTTGACCGAGTCTTATAAGATAGCCCAAAATACAATACAATTCTCTAAGTTACAACTAGACATTCATAAAGATTTTCCCTTGACTATATAATATTTCCTCTCCTTGCATAACTATTCCTTTGATGGAAAATATTGACGATATCAAATACTTATGTGCACTAGGGGTGTTCGTCGGTTCGGTTTGGTCGGTTTTCGGTTTGGTCGGTTCGGTTTGGTCGGTTTTTTTCCGGAAAACCTGAAACCGTAAACCGAACCGCACTACTTGAGTCGGTTTCGGTTCGGTTTCGGTTCGGTTAATATCGGTCGGTTCGTGTCGGTTTCGGTTAGTTTTAGCATGTTTTTGTCGGTTTTTGTCGGTCGGTTTCGGTTCGGTCGGTTTTATAACCCCAAAGGTGAAACCGTAAACCGAACCGCCAATGTTTAATCGGTTTGAGTCGGTTTCGGTTTGAGTCGGTTTCGGTTTTGGTCGGTTCGGTTTCGGTCGGTTTGTCGGTCGGTTTCGGTTTTTCGGTTTTTTTGTTCACCCCTAATGTGCACATAGTTATGAATTACCAAATATACTCTTATATAATGAACATTAGTAACATCATTTATAATTCAAACATTTCAACAAATACTTAAGGCATAAAGTTAACTCAGAGCCCGTTTGGTAGCACGAAAATCGGCTGTTTTGGCTCATTCTGCTGAAATTTATGAAATTCTGGCTGAATTGGCTGTTTTGGCTGATTCTGCTGATTCAAGAAAAAAATATTTTAAAAATATATTTTATTAATAAATTATAGAAAAAATTACATGTAAAAATAGCTAAAATAGTCCTCTACAGTAACTTCAGCCAATACAGCCAGAAAAGTAACTCCAACCTTACTTTTTCTGCTTATTACACAATTCAGCACACGGGAGTAAAAGTTACGTGTTTGGTGAAAAAGCTGACTGATAAGCCTGATAAGCCGAAAAAAGAGGTCTCCAAACGGGCTCTCAATCTTTTTACAAGGATAATTTTTTTAAATATGTCTAATCAAATATAGTTACCACACAACTTCTAAATTGCAAACTGAAGGGGCTAAACATGGGAGCAAAAAAATTGGATATTAAAACAATTTAAATTTTAAATAAAAAGCTAATCATAAAGTCGAATAAACCTTTGATTTGGAAGTTACTCTTAGTCCAGTCAAACATTCAAACTAATGAAAAAAGCTTGAATTTCATAAGCTTCCTCTAATATGGGTGAAATTCTCTCATAGTCAGTCACTAGTCATCAAAATAATATCTCTGCAGATTGCAGCTCTACACGCCAAATCCACTCATGACTAGCATTTCGACATGAGATCACCTAGTCACAAGTTAGAAAAACAATCACCACAGAATTAGATTAATGAAGAAGACCATGATAGAAGTGCAAAATAAAAAAATAATTTAAGAAGACCAAGACATGATGCCATGATTGTATCGATCAGGAGAAAAGCTTTTATCTCCCGTCAAACAAGGTTCTTCTTTATAAACAAGTGCACAATAGTTTTCATTTTCAACCTAATAAACACTTCTGATGATTTCCCCCCTCTCTCTATATATATATATATGTATATATGTATATGTATATAGATTTAGGATCATATACAAACTAACCCTAACTTACAAAGTGCAAACTAATCCTAATCATTCATATAAATGAAATAAATGGCACAGATGAAAACACTCTCCACTAATACGGTTGAATGGATATATCCGTATGTAGTGGATATGAGTTGAAAAACTTCCCCACTAATACGGCTAAATTTTGGTCTTGTAAACAAATCTTAGCCTTGATTTTATAAAATTGGACGGATGAGATGAATTTGTATTTTGTACCGGAAGCATGCTTTGTATCCGATCTCAACCCTATGTGTGTGTGTGTGTGTATATATATATATATATATATATATATATATATATATATATATATATATATATATATATGTTCCAGTGAGAACGATGCTTAACGTGAGAACGATGCTTAACGTGAGAACGTGAGAACACTCACATTTAAATCAATGTGAAGCACGATGGAGCTATTCTGTTGCACATTTTCAATTTGCTCGAATTAAGCCTATATTAAATAAACACGATGGCATTTTGGTTAATACTGTGAAAAAGTGAAAAGGTGCAATATACAAGCTTCATTGTGCAACACGTTGGAGAAAACGTGGTGTTCTCACGTTCTCACGTTAAGCAATGTTCTCATTTGATCTTTATTCTATATATTTTATTTTTATCCCGGAAGGCAAACCACCAAAATCAGTGGGGCAAGTGCCGGGAGTCAAATGCCGTTATTTTATTGAGTAAAAAAGGGAAGCCAAATACAAAGAGAGGGGGACCATACCAAAACCTCCCTAAAAAAAAAAGAAAATTACATGTAAAATGATTGCATTGATTTTTGAGTGTTTATATTTTTACTTTTAATTACTTTTTATGGTGTGTTGTTGTGGTAATTGCACATTTAAGGTGCAATCATTTTATTTTTCTAGTTTGTTGTAATTTAGTAAATTTAGAATCATCTTGAGCAAGAAACAATCAAGAATCAACAAAGGATCATGGAAGGGATCTTACAAGATCAAAGGAAAGTGCAAGGGAACAAGAAATCATGCAAGAAATGTGATTTGGTGACTTACCCGGTCGGGTATAGCCTTTACCCGGTCGGGTATGAAGTGACCCGGACAAAAAGACGTGCAGAAAATACAAAATCGTGGGCAAAATATTTGATTTTGACAAATACCCGGTCGGGTAACTCAAATACCCGGCCGGGTATCCGGTGCAGCACCTTCAAAACACCTATAAATAGCCCCATTTTCCTTCACTTTTAAGCACCCCTTCTTCCATACTCTTAAGCTCAGTTTAGAATAGTATTTCTTTTATATTTTTATAGCATGTTTAGTCTCCAAATGAGGAGCTAAACTTCCATTTCTTGGTGTTGCTCTTGAAGCTTGTTGATTATTAAAGTTGTGAGTTATTTTCTTAACTTCTTCCCTTGAATATTAATTATTCTCTTAATCTATCTATATATTAATGTTGGGGAGTGTTGCTAAGATGACAATTAGTTAACATCTCGACATTAGTTATAGTACTATTTATTTTCTTCCTCTATATATTAATGTTGGGGAGTGTTACTAAGATGACAATTAGATAACATCTTGACATTAGTTATAGTAGGATTATTCATATTTAATCTTCTTCCTTGAATATTAATTCTTCCCTTGATCTATCTCTATGTTAATGTTGGGGAGTGTTGCTAAGATGACAATTAGTTAACATCTCAACATTAATTACTACTAGAAACGTTCAACGAACCGATGGTTAATCGTTGATGGTTTCACAAGTAAGTAACTTCGGTTTATTAATGCACGGTCGTGGTTAATAAACTTAAGAGGGATTAATTTTGTTGGTTAAACCGAAACCGTTGTGTTGAGGTTATCAATCTCAATTGATTTCATCAAGGAGTTAAGAGATTAAATGCTACTATCAAGTCGGTATATGGCGGTGTTCTATACTTGACTAATAGTAAGGGTTATTAATGAACGGTCGTTGTTAATAACTACCCTCGATGAATTGGATATACTCCTCGATTGAGTATTCGAGAGGGGATAAGTTATAGATATAACAATGATTGACTAAAATATATCAACAAGTGGAAAGTAGCAATGCCAAGTCCTTTTTATCTTTGAATTAAATCTCATATAAGTCCTTCATCTTAGTATTTAATTAATTAAATTCCAACAATACCAAAACCCCCCTTTTATTTATTAGTTCATAAAAAGAGAATTATTCCTTTCCCTGTGGATACGAACTCTACTTCACCTATACTACGTATAAGTGCTAGTGTTGAATTTATTTTGACGCACCGTGACAAAGTGCTCGTCATAAAATCTAAAATAAGATAATTTGAGTTTGTCAGCAATAATTGCTCTACGGACCAAACTAGGAAGCTGATAATTGTAATAAAATATCTGGAAATCGACATTTGAAGTAATCCTAGACATAAGATGCGCCGGTCTGTTAGCCTCTCTGAGAGTATGTCCGAAGAAGATACTATACTCCCGTTTCCACTTCTTGACATCCTCCTCAAAGCTTCTCCATCTACCAACAAAACTTTCTTCTCTGATAATCCGATATACCTCGGCCGAATCAAATTCAGCCTCAAACCCACGATAACCAAGCTCGATCGCCCAGGAGACTGCCTTTTTCAGAGCCGCCATTTCAGCCTCAAGAGCGCTACATTTATATATATATATATATATATATATATATATATATATATATATATATATATATATATATATATATATATATATATATATATATATATATATATATATATATATATATATATATATATATATATATATACTCCTTCTGTAGTTTTTTGTTTGCTACATTTTCATTTTTGAGATATATTTTTATTTTTGCTACAATTTCCTTAAGTTTTTCCTTTAAAAATACTCAATTATGTACTCTTACTTTTTCTATTTTTTATAAAGGGTGAATGAATGTTAGTTGGGCCTATTCCGTTAGAATAGTAATGGACGGAAACTTCATTTCAGCGTTGAGGAAAAGTAACGCCATGTTACCGTCTTCTTCCCTCTGTTCCGATTTTTCATGTGGCTGGGAAGAATGCTCGCTCTTGTTTGTTCCTGTTTGCTTCTGTTACAGTGTGTGGATAGGCTTCTTCGAGTGAGGTAATATGTCTATCATTTCGCTCTTTCGTTGCTTTGCCAATCGTGGTCAGACGCTCTACCTTCTCTCTTAATTCCCCGGATCTAGCTTCTCACGGTCTCACCCAATGCTTGAATGCCGCCGGCGGAGGGCCATGAGACCGTTGGCGCTGAAGGAAGCCCTTGTATGCAGCGGCCATCAACGACCCTTCTCGGACATCAACGACCCTAATTTCTCGTCAAACCTTCCGGTAGATTCAAAGGCTTTTTCGGTTTCCTTCTTGTTAGATGAAATCCAGATTTAGATCCTCTAATATCTGTAGAGTAGCCATTTTCCGGAGTTGTGCCATGTCAAACTAAATCGGCAAGGGAGCGTCGATTTCTGACCTGTCTCCTTCATCAGAAATTATCTGAGCAGTCAAATTCTTCATTTAATGTAATATTTTTTACTTTTTTATTATCATATTATGCAGGGTGAGAATGAGAAGGTGAGAAAGAATGACCAGTTAATTTAATTTTATGAATTTTTTCAAAGTGGTTTTCAGTCTCGCTCTTGAAACTGAATCATCACACTTCTTCAATTTTTTCAAATTCAATCGTTTCATGTGAACTTCATTCAGACTTTATTTGGATATTTTTGAGTTTATTTGCAGGATGCTAAGAATTCAATCCTCCAACTTTCTCATGTAAATTGCAGGTAAGCAGTCTATTCTTAATTCTTTGCATCATTGCTTCAATATAAAAGCTTCAGAATACATTTTCATTCATTTTTACTAATGTGCTTTGCCACATGAGTTCCTTATATAATCTAACTACTTTTGTTCGCTTTTGTCACAGAAGATCGAATAGTTCTATATGTCAATCGATTCTCACCACTAGGTACTCTCTCTATTCTGAGTTTTCTTTCCTTCAAGACTAAATGTTTTCTTTTCTTTTTATTCATTCCACATTTATAACTGTTCCAAGAACATTTTCATTATCACTCTCTTTGAGGAGGAAGTTGGAAACCCTTTGTACTATATTATCATAAGGAATTCAAACTTTCAAGTGAGTCTAGAAACAAGTTTGTGAGGCTGCATAGTCAGTCTGATTATCATAAGGAACTCAAAGGAAGTCAAGCTTTTTGTTATTTGTGATGTTTCTGTCCCTGTTACTGATAATGAAAATGTTCTGATTATGAACAGTTATGTAAAAGCTGGCCCTGCTATTGATTGTGAAAATGCCCATGTCCCTATAACTGGCTGTGAAAATGTTGCCTGTGATAAAAGTATTGCTATGTATGATGAATTTGTCCCAAAGAGTATAGTAGCTGCATCTGATATTCCCCTTGCTGCCGATGATGCTTCCGAGGCATAGAAAGAATATTAGGTCCATAAGGTAAACCTAAAGGTCCCTAAGGTTAACAGTGTCAGTGCTACTGACAGCAATGTTGTTTATAAGGGGGCTGTGATGACAATTCATTTTCTTGAGCCAGTTGATGGGCATTAGGGATACCCGACCAGTATCTTGGCGTGGCAACACACTGGCCAGACCTGAATATGTCACGTGTTTTGTGTGTTTGCAGCCATGGCGGTGTCAGATGTTTCACTTTGTCTATTAGTGAGCTTTGTCTGAACCTCCATTGTTGTTCATTTATGGAAGAGATTTGTTTGATGTCTAAGTTTAAACATCTAACTTTTCTCTTAATTTTTATAGATTATATTGAAAGTCATTCTACAAAAAAAATGTTCTTCCCTTGCTTTGATATTTGTGGAATATGCAGTAGAAGTTCTCCATTGAAATAAGACGGATGATGGTTAGTAAAACCTCTTGATTTGATATCTGATAGGTTATTCTTGGCCCAACAATCTTAGTAAAACCTCTCCCTTAAAGTGTTAAAGTAATTGTCCTATATGAGACTAAAACAAAAGTGAAATGAAAAAATAAGACTTGATATGTTTTCTTCCCTTAAACATATGAGAAGAAAACATATCAAGTCCTTTAAACATGAGAATTGGCATCTCGGTTTTGCCCCTGCACCGATTTAACCTTGTTTCTCTCCTTTTACCTTCATAATCGACAAACTCCTTCTCCAAGCACCAAAGCAAATCCAGAGTTTTTAACCGCACAGCAAAACAGATCGATAGATTGCTTCTCTTCCTTGTACCGTTTTCTCTTCTTCTCACTAGATCCATCGATTTCTCCTGCCCTGCTTATCAAATCGATTTCATCACCAACTTCATCCCTAGCCGCCGACGTCGCCGACAACTCCGCCGCTTGCACGCCGTCAGATTTCTTTTTCTTCTTCTTCTTTTCTTCTTAATCTTCTTGTTCTTCTTCCCCTACTCTGACCTATTCTTTCTCCAATTATTCGAATTTTGGATTTGAAATTGTTTTTTCTAATTTGTCCTTCATTCCTCTATTTTTTCAGTTTTGACTTCCCATTTTTTTATTTTTGATCTTCTATTTCAAAATCCTGTTTCTTGATTTCATTTTTTTTTAAAAAATCAACTTTTCCAGATGATTGGATGATGGCACATGTTTTTTGCCATGTTTATGGCATATTTTTGGATGATAGGCATACAAATTTGCCAAGTTTATGGCAGAAATGTACCATGACAATCAATTTATGGCAAAACACTTTTTGTGTAAATCTTTTTCTATTTTTTGCCATTCACTTCTTATTTCTTATTGAGATGAATTTGTCAAAGTTATTGTTCTATTAAAATTTCTGTTTTTTCAAAAATTTAGTTGAGTACTTCATATTTTTCCAAGATTAGGACTGTTTTGTGTAAATCAGACAAGATAAATCTGCCATCTTTATGGCAGTTTGGAAAATTTGTTTTCAAGGCAGATTAGAAAGTAAACTTCCAGACCAAATCTTCCAACTTAATGGCTGATTTTCGACGGAGGGATGTAACGGTGGCGGCGGTGCTCGCAGGTGAAGTGGCAACCCCGAATTTAACACAGGCAGCAGCGATGAGAGTAGGATGGCGGCGGCAAAGGCGGATGACGGCGCTGGTTAGGTGGTGACAGATGTCGATGATGCCACCGGTAGGGATGCGGCAACGCCGGCTAAGGCCCCGACAACAATTTGTTCGTTCCATATATTTTTGCAACAGGAAAACCGTTCCGAGTTTTCCGCTAGCTTGGGTCCGCATAAGCCTCAATTAATTATTGATGAAGGATAAAATTGGAAAACCGGTCCTTCTTTAGTCTTACGAATTATTGCTTTCTTTTCTAGTCCTATTAATGCACATTCAACTAGTTTTAGTCTTATATAGGTCATTAACTCTAACTTTGGTCAATATACGCCGTGGGCAGCACAAAATAAGATGTGCTAAGATCCTCAATACGTTTTTCCTTATCATACCAGTGAAGCCATCCTTTTCTCTTGTCATAGCTTTTCCTTGCATATGATTGTTTTACGCGAACAAAGAGTATGATAATGTATGTTATAGGGATCAGTCAGCGCATTCCTTCCCGTTGAAAATGGAAGATCTTTTATTGGACAGTTTTTTCATTAAATTCCACCAAAAAAACGAACAGTCTTCATTCTTGTGTTACCTGTAAAATTAAGCATGCGGCTTGCTGATTACTGATTAGCATTGAAATTCTTCATCACTTGCAAGGTCAAGTTCATTTTTTAATACTTGTTGACTTTCAGGTAATGCATTTTTTTGTACTACCTCCGTCCCCCTGTTTTTGTCCCATTGCGGTTTACGATGCTTGACCGACGATAAAGCAAACAGATCCCTGTCCGCACTCAAATTATTTTTTGAAAAAAAAAATTACATATTCAGAAACTACATTAAAAGCTTTACAGAGTCGCAAATACCTGAATCAAATTTGATAAAAATTTGAAACATAAAGTAAGAGATTAAGAGTGATTTGTGTTAACCAGGTGAACAGGAAACGGGACAATAACAGGGGGACGGAGGGAGTATTACTTAGTGGCTGAAATCTGAAAGTTCTATCCCGCAACCATATTTTATTAATCTGAAAGATCTATCCCGCAGAAAAGTTCTACTTTTCATTACATCAATTAAATTGGCATATTGTGAATTCTATTCGACTATTCTGAAGGTTTAACTTTCAGGTAGTTTCTGACTTTATGTTCTTGAACATATCAAACTTGTTATTGCAGAGCAGAATTTAAGCATATATTATTAATCATGTGGTGTAGAGGAGCTGCCAAGTCAAACCAATACATATGAGATAGATAAGTATGGCTGCCTGCAATGATGCTGCTGGCCCTTCTTGATCTCGCACCACGTTGTTGTGCCCTCACTCTGTTGCTGTGATGTTTTGTTTGATCTTTCTAACCCAAACATTCGAATTGAAGTGTTAACTGACCATGCTTTTGTAATGGACAACATTGAACTGCCTTTTTTGCCGCTTTTGTGATGTATTTGTGCATCTTATACGATGTTTTCCCCAACATTGGGCACAACCGCCGCGCAACGCACCCGCCCACGCTCAGGGGTGGACTGGGCCGGGCCGAACTGGCCCGGAACCGGACCGGCCCGCTACTGCGCGGGCCCGGACTGGACCGGGCCCGGTTGGCCGGTTCCGGGCTTTTGGCCCGTGTGGGCGGGTCGGGTTCGGGGCCTATTTTTGTTGAACCGGCCCGGGCGGTTTGGGTCGGGCCTGGTTCAATTTTTTTTTTCAATTTTTTTCTTTTCCTAGGGTAGGGCTGGGTGTTTTGGGGAGGTTTGGGGGGTGGGGGGTGAGGGGGGGTGGGGGTGAGGGGGGGGGGGGTCAGGGGATAACAAGAAAGGAAAAAAAATTAAACATTGGACCGGGCCCGGACCCGGTATCAACCCGGGCCGGTTCCGGGCCCATGTAATTGGAAAAAAAGCCCGCCCGGGCCCGGCCCGGCCCAGGTCCATCCCTACCTAGGCCTGGACTCGGACCGGGCGGACCGAACCGGGCCCGACCCGGCCCGCTCACTGTAGCAACCGGCCCGACCTGGTCCAGCGGGCCTCAGGCGGTTCGGGCCTACCCGGCCCGGGTGCTGGGCGGTCCGGGCTCGGGCCTTTGTTTTCTTGAACCGGCCCGGCCGGGCCGGGCCCGGTCCGGGCCTAACGGCTAATTTTTTTTTTTTAAAAAAAATTCTTTTTCAATTATTTTTTGGCCTTGGTCTTTGTCAAACGGCTATTGTAGCCGTTGGGGCTGTTTGGGAGCCTCCAAACGGCTCTATAGCCGTTGGAGGGGGGTGGGGGGTGGGGGGGTTGGGGGGGTGGGGGGAGAAAAAAAAAATCTATTTATACTCCTATTTTCTATACATTTTTTTACACCTTCTCTACTCTCTAATTCTCTATTCTCTCAATCTCTAAAATCTTCATTCATCTCCATCTTCATCTTCTATTCTTCTCCAATTTATCTCTACATATATATTATTTATATAAATATTATTATATCTACTTATATATTTATTATCTACTTATATATACATATATTACATTACTAATATTTATTATCTACTTAATATATATTTATTATCTTATAATTAGCTACTTTACATATATATATATATATATATATATATATATATATATATATATATATTATATAACTTATATTCCTTATCTACTTAATCTCTACTTATTATTAATATATTATATCTACTTATATATTTATTATCTACTTATATATACATATAGTACTTTACTAATATTTATTGTCTACTTAATAGTTAATATATACTTACTATCTTCTTAAAGTAGATAATTTGATATCTAATTATCTACTTTACATACATATATTATCTTCTCCTTATTCATCATCAACCAATCGGCCAATCCACCAAGGTACTCTTCTCTTCTTTTATCCATTAATGGCGTTATATTCAAGTAGTTAATTTGTTGCATTATTCATTAAAGTGTACAAGTAGTAAATTTAGACATTTTAATTAAAGTATAAAACTAGTTAATTTGTTGCATTTCTCATTAAAGTGTACACCTAGTAAATTTAGACATTTTAATTAAAGTATAAAACTAGTTAATTTGTTGCATTATTCATTAAAGTGTACAAGTAGTAAATTTAGACATTTTAATTAAAGTATAAAACTAGTTAATTTGTTGCATTTCTCATTAAAGTGTACACCTAGTAAATTTAGACATTTTAAAATATTTGATATACTTTTATATTTGTTAAGATGGAGCGCGGTAGACATTCTTTGGATATCGGAAATCTCCAACGCAACCGAAAGAAGGAGATTGCGAGAACTCATCCTAGTTTGCGCAAAAAAAGCGGGCAGTCCGGATCTTCTTCTCAAAGTGGATGGGAGGACGAACCGGAATACCAACGGCGAGATGGTGAAAGAATGTCCGACGAGCAACTACAACAACTATTGGCTCAAAATCCTCAATTTTTCCATCAACGAGACATCCCGGACGATATTCACACCATTGACGAAGAAGAGCTCGAGGATGACGATCCGGAGGAGGACGCGGGGGGCGCCGGGAGTCACGGCACCCCGGATGAGGAGCAAGCGGCGGATTACGAGGGTGGTTCATCCCAAATAGGTACGAAATCTAAATCTCCTATTATAGAAAATAATTTTAAAAAGTATAAAGACCCAAGCACCGAGAAATGGTACGCAAGTTGCAACCATTGCGATAAGGTGTACAGTTTGGGAACTTCGGACGGATACGGGAGCCTCAAAAGGCATCTTATGGGCAAGCACAAGGTGGAGTACGCAAAAATTGAGAAAGGCAAGGGGAAGCAAACACAAATATCGAGGTTTGCAAATAACCAACATTATGGTAATTTCTCATACAATGATCAACAAAATTTGACTGGTATGGCTAACTTTATAGTTGAAGAAAAACGGTTAAAAAAGAAATTATAGTCGAATTTTTAAGGCTTTGACTGGTATGGCTAACTTTATAGTTGAACAAAATTTGACTGGTATGGCTAACTTTATAGTTAAAATTTGACTGGTATGGCTAACTTTATAGTTGAACAAAATTTGACTGGTATGGTAATTTCTCATACAATGATCAACAAAACTTGTTTAAATCCTCAATTTCGAAGTTATAGTCGAAAAACGGTTAAAAAAGAAATTATAAGGCTTTATAAGGCGGAAAAGTTAACTTACAATTTTTTTTTTCAAACTATGATGGACGTGTTACTGTTTGTTCTGACATATGGGAGGACACCTATCATAATTTACATTATTTGGGTTTGACTGCATATTATGTCGATGATGATTGGAATTTGCATAAACGTGTTCTTGCTTTTCGTGAATTTAATGATCGTCACACCGCCGAACATATTTATATTTTGATTGAGCGTATTTTAATTGAGTATAATTTGGTTGATAAGGTGTTTGCTATACCTAGATTGCGTGAATTGTGTGGTTCTACTACTTTGATGGGTAGATTTTTTCATCAACGATGTGCATGCCATATAATAAATTTATGTGTGCAGGATGATCTAAAAGCGTTGGGAGATGCTATGGAGGTAGCGAAGGGGGGGATTAGACGTATTTGGGCTAATGGTCAACTTAAATTAAAATGGAAAAATTATTTGAATGAAAGAAATGTGAAATATGTTGCTTTTCCTAAAGATTTGTCTATTCGGTGGAATAGTTCTTATAAATTAATTAGAGTTCTTATTAGATATAAAGAACATTTTCCTGCTTTTTTAAAAGAATATGATAACTACATTTTAAACTCCGCTCACATCGACACTTGCGAAAAAATTTGTAATGTTTTGATATTTTTTAATAATGCAACTGAAAGTTTTAGTCATGTTTATAAACCTACTTCAAACGAATTTATGCGTGAACTTGTTAATCTCGCCGGTGCTTTTAATGAATTTCAAAATGCCGATTATGTGAGCTATTTTTGTACTTTTATGAAGGAAAAGTTTTTAAAATATTATGCACATATTCCACATATTTATGGTATTGCATTTATTCTCGATCCTCGTTATCGACTTGGTAATTTGGAACAATGTTACAAGTTCTATTATCAATCTTTTTATGGTGATTTTCCAATGTATGAAGATAACCCTATAGATCCGCAATCTGAATACAATGAGGTTAGTAGTTTATTTTATTCTTTATTTAATGAGTTTCGTGCACAATATGGCAACGCGCCCCCTCCCCCAACCCAAACATCTTCATCTAAAGGAAAAAGTTTTTTAAATCTGCATTTGGCAATCTTATGAAAAAAGCTAAAACAACGCACATTACTGAACAAAGCACAATTAATGAGATTGCTTTGTATATTAACTATGAGGTTGAGTTTGTAGAAAATGAAGAATTTGACGTCCTAAAGTGGTGGAAGTCAAAAGAAAGAACGTTCCCGATTTTGGCACGGATGGCTAAGCAAGTACTATCAATGCCGGTTTCAACAGTTGCCGTGGAACAAGAATTTAGTTCGGCCGGCAACGTCCTAACTAAATCGAGAACGTGTTTGAGTGCCGAATCTCTTGAGACGCTTATATGCTACCACGATTGGTTGAAGGCAAGACGTAGAACTCAAGAACTTAGCCTCATCCCCTCCCAAGACTTTATGGATGAATCAACCGATGGTGGTTCTACCTATGCCGGGGATTCCGATTGATTAGCATTTTACAATTTATTATTTTATCCTCAATTATCTATTGTAATCTGTGAACTTGTAGATTTGTAGTTCATATTTCAAATCAATAAAAGTTAAATTTTTTTATATGTCGCATTTTTTAATTATATTATATTATTATTACTTAATACAAAATGTATTAGAATTAATTGTTCTCAATTCTCAAAATGTACTTATTACTTATTTCACATAAATGTACTTCAAGATTGTTTTTAAATAATTTTAATATCCAAGATTCCAAGTAGATGTATAAGACTAGAAGTTAAAAAAAAAAATTATTAAAGGCCCGACCCGACCCGCCGGTTCACCCGGCCCGGGGCCCGGCCGGGTCACCCGGCCCGAACCGGCACCCGCTTACAGGCGGGCCGGGCCCGGGCCTTACATTTCCGAACCGAGGCCCGGCCGGGCCTAGGCCCGAACCGGGCCCGAACCGGCCCGAGTCCAGGCCTATCCCTACCCACGCTAGTTAATTTATTAATAGTTCTGTGATAATCGGTTTTGAAATAGTTTTGTTTCCTTTGCTAGAAGTAGGATTTTAAATTGAGTTGTAGTAACATCATTTTGTTTTCAAATTATTGATTAATTTTTTCATAAATATCTTATTACTTTTTATTGTTATTGAATTATTCCTTTCTATGGAATTTAATTATTTGTTAAAAATGATTTTGTTATATTTTTTTATAATATTGTTCTTAAAATATATAAATTGTGTTTACCACCCACCATGTATATGTAAACTTTGGCTAATACTGAAAATTTAATTGAAAAAAAAGCAATCACCTTAATATGTGATGTTAGACAACATGTTTAAATACAAATGTTAGAAAATATGTATTTTGGCTATGTTGCATATTTTTGGAGTTTCTTTAATTGTTTGAAACTTATATACATGAAATTATGAAGTATTGGACTTGTCGCTTGTGTTACATGTGCATCACTATGTTGTTATTTTGAAACTTGTTAATGTCCTATATTATTGATTATTGATTATTGATTTTTGGAACTTCGTGAGTTTTTACTAGTTTTAAGACATGAGAATAGAAACCGTAAAACCCGGACCGGACCGACCCATTTCAAACAGGTCGGGTAAGGTCCGGTTCCTATTTTGAAAATTGAATTACCCGGACCGGACCGAACCGTACAATGGAACCAGCGGTTCCATTTTATTTTGCATTACCCGCCCCGACCTGGCCCTTGCCTAGCCCTACGGTTAGCTATGCAGGCCTTCCCACAATTCTCCCAAATTGTTTTACCAGTACAGTAACGAGAAGCGAAATCGAAAATCTGTTGTGCATCTGGGGATATACTGCAGGAGTGTTTGAAAATGCTTCTATTTAAAAAAAAAAAACACTTTTTGAAGTGATTATAGAAAAAGGGATTAATAGTAAAGGTTGAAAGTGTTTGGTAAAACATTTGCTTTTTGTGTAATAGAAAAAACAAAAAGCACTTTTTAGCCAAAAGCTGAGAAATGTTTTTTTAAGTAGAAGTTGTCACTTGAAAATACTAACTCTACCTTTTCAAGTCAAAATTCGAGAAAAACACTTTTTTTTAATCGGTTGCAAACACTCATTACGTATTATTATACTACATACTTATGAGGAGGCGGTAGAAGGATAATCTAAAATTGAAATAAAAAACATAATTGAAAAAAAAGGAAAGATTAAAAATGAAAAGAAAAGTATCTAGAACACAAATGACATGTGGCAAACAAAAGTGGGCTATGCGATAATATTCGACTTAAAAATATCCAAAATACCCGATTTGAAATATCAAAGGGTCGGGCGTATTATTTATATTAAAAACCCGAACGGGTTTAGGGTACGACCCGACAGGACAAATTTTGCAAAGATCTCCACATTACAATAAACCTAATACCCGACTGCTTTTTGCTAAGATCTCCACATTACAATAAACCTAATACCCACACAAATTTTGTATTATTGTTCCAAAAGGTTGAATCGCCAACCCCAAGCGCCCCCCACGTCCCGACCCGACAGGACTTTCGGAGTTTTGGGAGGATGTAAGTCACGATGACTCAGTCAGTAGAGTGGCAGTAGGCCCACACACCCGTGCGCACTAGAGGCCCAACCTTATTTCTAGATGGCAAACATTGTCCGCTTGGTCACTGTCAGGCCGGAAACGCAAAAGTGGACTTGTGAGGTCCGTGTGATAAAGAAGGTTGCTCCAAAAATCTCAGCAAATGGGACACCATATATCTTGCTGCACTTTGAGGACACTGAGGTAAACACAATGGAAGTGTCACTCTAAGCAAAATGAAACATTTGATTGTTATAGTCGGCATATAATTAATTTGTTCTTATGGTTTATCCTACGTGGTCTACTAAACTCCAAGAAGTTTCAAACTCATTATAAAAAACGGATATCTACATGTTTTGACCATTCCTCCTTTATGCTGATGCTTTATTCTTTAAGTATTCACATTTACGTTCATTACTTATACATAGTCCTCTCAATGTGTTATGTAGGTCTGTTATGTTTTTCAAATTGAATTTTGTATTCATAGTTCATATTATCCACTTTGATTTTTTCATGTTGTCATACGGCAAACAAAACAAAAAAAAACCCCTCCCCCCATAAAAAAAATATTAAAGCTAAACATCATTCTTTATACCACAACAATCCTAATTATACTTCCCATTGCTGCAACCCTACAGGGCACTTCCATCTTTCTTCATCTACATTTTTTTGCACTTAAGACACTTTGATTTTTTCATGCTGTCATATTGCAAACAAAACAAAAAAAACCACCCCTCCCCCCCCCCCCCCCCCCCCCAAAAAAAAATTAAAGCTAAACATCATTCTTTAAACCACAACCATCCTAATTATACTTCACATTGATGCAACCATACAGTGCACTTCCAGCTCTTTTCATCTACATGTTTTGCACTTAACACACTTTTAATCTCTAATTTCTATATTCAGCTTCTATAAATGCTATCTTCCTGTATTTGGTTTAGTAAATAATTTTTTAGCCAAAAAAAAATCACTTCCATTATCTCTATGCTGGTGCATGTTAATCTTCACATGTATTAACTATGCGAAAAAAATAGGGCATTCGTGTGCAAGCAGTAGTCTTTGATCAAGATGTCAAGATGTATGACATGACGATGCAACAGCACTCATGGTATACAATTTCAAATGCAATTGTCCGACCTCACAATACCAAATTTCATCTCCTAGACGAAAACTATGCCTACACTTGGTTACTAAACGGTAGGACTATGGTACAACAAATGCAAAAAAATGACTTTGTGGCCCACACTGATGGCCCACTGCTAACACACTTCATAGATTTGTATGAATGTATGAAGACAAGGAAAGAAATAGGTAAGCCACATCTTCCATGCAACTATAAACCAATCTCTTCTCAGCTCATGAGCTAACTATTTCAATTACAGCAATGATAGCAGTAGTCATTGAAAAATTGCCCAAGGAGTTCAGGGAAACCAGCCGTGGAACTCAAGATATCAAAGATTTTGTGATCGTGGATGAAAAGTAAGATTATTACACACTGCCCATCCCTCATCCTTTTTTTTATTCCATCACCATTTCATTGTGCCGTTTGTACATCACATCAGGCTGAAACCAATAATAATCACGCTCTGGAACAAGCATGCCATGACGATTGAGGTAGAGATAACGGAGCAACTGATGGCGGGGATGTACCCTATAATATTAATCGAAGCTGTTCCGGTGACCCCCTACAGAGGTACTTTACTTATATACATTCTATAAACTAAAAAACAATAATAAAAATCTAATTCCATGGTCAACTCCAGGGATTTCTTTGAGCACTCATGCTGACTCGACCATAACTCTCAGCCCAGATACACCCCGTGCAACAGAACTAGGCAATTGGTAAGCCCTAAGTTCACAAATATAATGCACAAATGCAACACTCACTCTTGACGTTCTGAATAAAAAATGCACACCTATTGTGCCATATTACTCATTGTAGGGCTATTATTGAAAATCGTGCTGCACTTGATGGGCTAAAAATCTGTATGGAGTACACCAACGCTGCCTCAAATTTGGCAGACCCAGATAAGGAGACAATAATGGAAATAGCAAAAGTACCTCCACAGATTGAAGAGGTCAGTTTGATCTTAACGCATACATGCTTCCCTTCATTCACAATGTAAAAGGAACACTTACTGTCCCACATCTTAAGCACTGAGTATTTCAAATCTGAGCAAAATTTTAAACAAAGATGTATGTTAATTCATCTATTCATTGAAGAGCATTACATCTTACAATTACCTTTTACATTGCAACTTTCACTTTAAATATCTTTTAAGCAGATTACCTTAAAGTAACATTTTCTATCTTGCTCAGTTTAATAACATAAAAACCATCAATATAGGTCTGCTCTCACAAATAATTAATCATCTATGCAAACATATAACTCATCAACATATAAGCCACTGATCAATCTACATGTTCATGCATTCCTTCCTCGTTTTGGTTGATAGTTTGCTGTAAACACCTACATAAAATCTGTAGTCTTCAAGTACTCCAGTACACTTCATGTTGTTCTATGTTAGGGGCCTGGCCGTATATAAGAATATTCCTCCATTGGATGCAAACCTCTTCCCATAAAAACTACAAGAAAATGCTAGAGAAAGTTTATGTTAGCCTATTCTCCCAAATCATCTTGCATTAACAGCCCTCTTATCATCAACACGTATACTAACCTGACATAACTTTTTGACATAACGTTGGTCAAGCTTTTCCGGATTTGTATTACAACATATATCTGTGGGATGATTGCTTTGTTGTTTATTGGAAGTATATAAAGAAGATGAGACCTTTAGTTCCTTTTCAGCCAGCTTTAGTACCACTCCAATTTCATAAGTCAGATAATAAATAGAGCTCAAATATACACTAGAGAGTGCATTTTCTTAATTAAGTATATTATCTCTCCAGAAAATGACTTTTAAAATTTACTCTTATTGTCCTCTGTAGTTATAAGACTTATAATGGAAGAGAAAACAATTACATGAAAATTGTTTCAGTAAAATTTACAGCCTGTAACTTTGAATACAACCTATATTGAAAGTTATTTGAATATCTCCTTAGCAAATTTGTCATTAATATTCCATTCGTGATGACTTCTTAAAAATAAGAATTCTTTTATGACATTGTTCATTAGGTTAAAAAAACTCACAATTGGCATCATGGTAGAGTATTAAAAAAACACTAATACATATGCAAACTATATAGTAAAACGACTAATTTTCCTTTCCAAATTAATTCTTCTTCCTGCCAAAACTCCCAGAAAAAAGCATAAGAAAAAACTCTCAAAATAATTCTCAAAACCAACTGATGACACACCATTAACTTGTATGTGTGTGTCTTGTATGTGTGTGTCTGTTTATAGAAAGGCAATGGCTGGTGTATTAGATATTAAACATTTCCTTTCTATATGTGTTTTGGGCAGAGTAATTGAGTTAAGCTAATATTGAGTGAAACATTTCCTTTACAGTCGAAGCCCGCATGGATTCAGGGCAAAATAACTTTGGCCATTGACAATGAAAGTCTTTGGTACGTGGGATGTAGCCGCTGCTCTAAGAGCGTTTATGGCGGATGTGACTATAAGTTCCACTGCATGACTTGTGGCGAACCAAACACTTTTGGGACTCCAAGGTAACTGTACACATATTAATTGACTCGAAAATCCCACAAATTCGATAACTATATATAACCCATATAATTTGCTGATCTTTCAATGTACACGCAGGCCTAAGTTACGTGTCACAATTGAAGACAAGACTGGTTGTCTCAATGCCTCGGTGTTTGGCCGTTGTGCTGAGAAATTGCTCCTAATGACAAGTAAACAAATCATTGTGACAAATGGCATAGATGCAATTGATTACTAAATAAAATTTGCATCACAATCTATGTAGGGAAAAAAGGCATCATTTCAGTACGCCAACAAACGCTTGGTGAATGAAGATTATATAGTCCAATCGAGAACAAACACATACAAATATCAAGGCGTCTCCACAACAACTTATACTGTGAACTCATTGCATGACTCTTCACACCACTTGACAAAGAAGACATAAGATAGTCCCACAAATGACATGGGCCCAAGTACCAGCACAACAGAACTGTCCCCCTCAAATAAATGTCAAAGGACCAATTAGGGCCATTCACATCACAACATCACTCCGCCCTGACAAGACACCAATGCTTTAGTTTATTGCATAAAACCTATGACATTGTCTTTTGCTTATCGTCATTCCTTGCATTTCACTCTTCCCTACATTTCCTTCAGTTAACATTTTCCTTTCCACGTGCACTTCATCAGTGTTGCTATAATTTGCATATCTTAAAAGTTATGACTTCTTAAATAGCCTTCCATTTTATCTTTTAGTTTAAACAAATTTTTATTTTCCTTTACATTCATTTTGACTAACGTAGCATTGAATATCTCTTCATTACACCAGGTACATCCTAAAATAACACTAATTTATGAATTAACTTTGGAAAATTAATCACAAAAAACACAGGTAAAGGTTAAGTTCCCAAAAAAAACTTCTAATTCATTTACGTATATCAGTTCAAAATTCTAGGGCTGTTGCACTTAATGTTCCCTATTAAATACAACCATTAAAATTTTAAAAAACTCTAAAACTCATTTATCAAACATATAACTATGGGTTTTTATAGGCTTAATAAGAATGTATTTAATTCCATCGCAATTTTTTGACTGATCTGATACTATAATTTGCTTTGTTTGATACATTCAGGATACAACAAAATACTTCAGTTCCTAAAGTTGGGAGCTGTGGAGAATATTTCAAATTAATTTACAAAAATAAGTTCAAATCTAGCCACCACGTCTAATTCGTAAACTTTAGATAACTCTCAAACACGTCGTAGTACCGCACTCAACAATCATCCCTGTATTATAAAAGAGTTAATATCTAGCCAGCACGTAAACTTGGGCATTATCCGCTCGCGCAACGCGCGATCAAAAAACTAGTCTTGATATATATACCAATTATTGATTTTGTTTAGTCTACGTGGGAATTGAACCCACATCTTCATGCATTTGCATGATGCTCTACCAGTTGAGCTAGTAAACTTTAACACCAGTTCATAACTTTATGGATATTATGAGTTATGTTATATGTCATTAAAATTTAAGAGCTTGCATTTTCTTCTGTAAGTGTATATTAAGGATAATTAGATGAATATAACTTGTAAATAAAGAAACATAACTTTTAAATCAGAAGGTATAACTATTACTAAAAAAGCCAAGACCTATAAAGTTTAAGATCTTATAAATTTTATAAAAACGTAAATCAAATATTACTTTTACTAAATATCCAAAGGCTTAACTTTTACCAAAACTTCCAAGATCTCCAAAGCTTAGAACCTTCCATTTTCTTATGTGTGTATGGCATATTAAGGGTGAAACTGTCTCTTCCTCCTCACCAATGATTTCCGTAAACATTTCTGTGGACATGTCTTATACTAATCACAAGTACACATATATAGACCTGATAAGAATAACACTTGATTTGGCTTATTATTTACCCCGCGGGATCACAAACTGGCCAACGGGTCCTGAACTAGTACCATTCAGGTCGGAAGGTGGGTACCCGGATTGTCTCAGTATGCAAGTTTTGACAATTAAATTCTGATTTTTTTTTTATCATTTTACGATAAGCAAAGTTGAACAAAGAGATTCTACATTAAAACTGATACATAAGATAAACTTAAAAAAACTTAAAAAGTGAATTTTTATATATCGTCTTATGAAGAAAAATGTAGGGTGAGATTGTTTCAGATTTTGAAAGAAAGATAGGAAACACTTGAAGAACCATTAATCCAATATCAATTTGGTTCTAGAAGTGTTAGAAGAAGCAATATAAGAATCAATAGTATTATATCAGTGCAATTCTGGTATATTGTCAGTTAAACATTAGTAAAAATATATATTTTAACTATTAACGTGTCTCATTATTAAACCACTACCACATAAAAATATAATTTCAAATTAATAAATATTTAACCGTAATTTAGTAAACAAAATTTAACCAGCTAAAATGAAAAGAAAACAGTTATTAAGAAGAAAAACTCGATTGAACCTATGCTAGTAGCACGTGTAGTAATGAGTGTAACGTCTGTGTAATGATTAGTGTTCTACTCGTTAAGTTGTGCAATATAACAATTGATTACAAAGAGACCGAGTTTGTTGAGCATTCTTATAACTTTGAGTTTTCTTATTGATAAAAACAAATTTGGATGCTTATTAGTTATTACGCTTCATTTATTTCTGTAAAATCCTACGTTGCTAGATTAATTGCACATATATATACAAATGAAATTATATTATACAGAGGAAATTACTCAAGATAGACTCAAAATAGCATTCTTCCCAAAGCATGATCTGATGATCATATGTTTGATTTTTCTTCAGTAGGATAAACATTAAATTTTACCCCTAATTAAATAATTAATACCTTGGAGTATAATTAATTGTTCATAGTTCCCTTGCATAACTAATGTTTTTTTGTTGGTAGCGGATAAGTTTGATAACGGTGCGGCTAATTCCCATGACGGAGGCAGACGACAATGATATTTGGGCAGATCGTGTAACACCCCCAAATTCGTACCTGAATAGATTCTAATTATAGCAAGTATAGTATGAATTTCCCAAAAACATTTAATTCAAAAGAGTTTCAATTGCAGCGGAATAAAAAATAGTCATTGGGTGTTACCGCCACATTCAACTATCTCTTAACCGAATGCACAGGCTAAATCACAATTGAAAAATAATCCAAGTATTTAGGTACTGATATCTCAAAAGGAAATATTAAACGTCTACATGTTCTCAAAGTGAAATAAACAATAACTAGGTGATTATAAATGCTAAACTACATGATCTAAGTATCTAACGCAGCTAGGGGTGGGCATGGGTCGGGACGGGGAACAAGGTTTGGGGTATCCCGATACCTGTCTCAAATTAGGATAACGGTTTGGAACCGGATGGTACTAGACATTGTCCTATTTTTGTTCTATTTAAACCGGTATCACTACTAGAAAAAGCACGTTTTGCAACGGAACCGTGCAACGGACTTGTACCTGTTGCAATAATGCAATTAAAACTGCAACGAAATATGACGTAGTTGCAATATAGCAATGAATATTGCAACGGAAAATAAATTTATTGCAAATGTGGCCGAGAAAGAGAGGGAAAATATATTACAACAGATTTTGCAATGGAAAAATAATACTGTTGCAATAATTGCAAGAGAAATTGCAATGCCATATCACTTTGTTGCATACTTATAGATTTGCAACAGATTTGCAACAGATAAACCGACCATTGCAAATACTCCCCTGCAACGAGTTTGTACCGCAACGGTAATTTGCAATGGAGTCAATTCCGTTGCGATTTATTTTGAAAAAAATATTAACTCTTTTAATTTCAACTTTATTGGTTGTATTGACTGAAGTTACTGTAGAGAATCATTTATTTAAAAAAATCATTTTATTAAGAAAAAATTCATTAATTAGTATTTGTTTTAAAATGCGGTAGAAAAAATATTTCTTAGAATGTTTTTACTTGAAATGTAATTTGTCCCAGACAAAACTAGTCCAGATCAGTTCAGATCAGACCAGATCAGACCAGACTTCGATAGTTATAAAAATACAAAGTGCCCATACATTACCAGACCAGTTCAGACCAGACCAGACCAACAAATTACAGTTCAAGTAAAAACATCCTTAGTAATTATTTGTGACTATACGTGTGTTCAAGTATAGTCATTAATAGTTACTAAATAATATTTTTGTCAATGACTTATTTATTCGAAATATAGGGAAAACCCCATTTTATTAATAATATGTATATTTCAAATATAGTTTTTACATCAATCAGCAGAATTAGTCAATTCGGTCACTATAGTCAGAACTTTTATAAGTTTCAGCACCAACTCAACATTGATAAAATAAAATATTATAGGAACATAAGAAAAAAGATTAAGAGCTCGTTTGGTGGCTCTGTTTTTCGGTTTTTCAAGCTTATTAGCAACTTTTAACCAAATACATAACTTTTAATTTTGCGTGCTGAATTTTGTAGTAATAAGAAAAAAGTAAGGTTGAAGTTTCTTTTCTGGCTGTATTGGCTGAAGTTATTATTGATGACCATTTTAGCTATTTTTTCATATAATTTCTTCTTTATCTTATTAATAAAATATAATTCCAAATAATTTTATTCATAAATTAGCACAATCAGCCACATCAACCAGAACTTCATAAATATTAGCAGAATTAGTCAATCAATCGATTTCGATGTTACCAAACCGGTTATAATGTTCATAGTTAATTGAACTTTTATTGTTTAAAAAATCTCAATAACAGAGTAGCGGGCATCTAAAAAAAAGAGTAGCGGGAAGTGAAATATACTACCACCAAATCTCAAACTTTCCAAAATTTTGCCGGAGCCCTAGTTAGTGTATCCAGTCTACTTTGGACTCCAACCAAAACTTGTTTGCCACACTTCTTCTCTGCGCTTCTCCTTCTCTGCATCAAACAACGTTTTTGGGATTTCACTGCAAACCAGGTTCTCTTCTCCGCAACCCTCGGATTCACGCTATCAAGTAAGCTTTTCTTCTCTGTTTGAGTTAATCTGTTATGCGATGTATGCTTGAAGTTTTTCTTCTGGGCCTGGTGCAATAAAGGTGGGGAGACTTCGGTTAATTATGGATGTAATTGTTTTATATTACTTTTGATTTGGTTAATTGGAAACTTGTGCTGTAACAAAATATAATTTTTGTTTGGACAACTTGGTGCTTGTGGTTTTCTTGATAAGATTCTGATTTCCTTACTTGCACTCATGGTGTTTGTTAAAATGCTTGTGAGGAATTAACTTGCAGATTGGTTCCTTTTTTTTAGCCACCATGAAATATCCAAGTTGAAGTAGTACATACTGTATTACTCAGATCGTTGCAAACAGGATTAATAACAAAGATATTCCAATTATCTCAGTAATATGAAAACAGGAAGATGTCAGAGGAATTCATCAACCACTCAAGAAGTTTGGGATAGTTGGATGACTATGTGGAGTAGTGAAGATTTTCAGAAGAAATCTAATCAAAGCAAAAAAATAGGCGTCAAGGTGAATTAGAGAAGACTGCCCTATCTACTCATACTAGTGGGGCCATATCTCATGCCAAAGTTGCCAGTCAAATTGTAAGTTGCCTTTGATTTGTTCTATTTCCATGCCACATTCTCCCTAGCTTGTAATTTCTACCATAGTTTGCCAAAGTGTTCAAATTAGCATCACTCGAAGGTTGCCTTCGACTGTGATACCCCCCCCTCCCCCCCGTTTTTTTAGATTAGTTTCGTATCATAAAATGCAACATCCAATAAGCTCAAGAAAAGCAGAGCTATATAAATTCAGTTAACAAAAGATTCTGAATCAATAAGAAGTTTGGGTGCCCATGCAAAAAAATCCTAAAGTGAGTACTTCGAATAAAACAACCAGTAAAATAGCCAATGTTGTCTATTTGATTCCTACAATTGGCATTAGGAATGATTTATGTGGTGGTGGTTCAACTCCAACTACAATTGACAACCAGTAAATCTTTTTGACATTTATGATTTCTGAAGGGTCATTGAATGATGGTGGTGGTTCAACTCCAATGAACACAAAAAGAGATTTTATTTCATCCACTGGATGATTGAGTTGCATCTGTGTATCCCAATATTTCCCTTAGTGCACACACCTGCTCCCATATCTTCTTCTCACTTATGTCCATGTCCTCACTAGATGATGGTTGCTGTGCATTGTCGTTAGTTTTGGTCACACAATGTTCTGATGGGTGTAATCCTCCTGGTGTATCCTGCTGCTCCACTGCTGCATTTCTTTTTAGATGTTCCTTATCTAAATGATTATATGTGATATGATTATATTTTATTTATTCAACATGTCTAATATTGTGATTCATATGATATTTATTGTTTGATTACTCTAATTCTCTAACATTGTACGTTACAAATGATTAATTATTATGTAGGAAAAGGACTCCGAAACTACGGTGACAAGTTATCAGGTTTTTTTGTATACGCATACAAAGAATCACGATGGAGAGACTTTCGTAAATGATCAGGCTAAAGAAGTGAATGTAAGTATTTTTTTTAAATATTATTATTTTTAAACAATTTGCTCTTATATTAATTCAATAAAATATTATAGGATGAATTTGTTTTACGTCGTGAGGAGCTAATTGATATTGGTGAGGAAGTAGATGATGATGAGCTGTTCTATGATGTTGTTGGTGGACCTGACTCAAAGAATAGATTGTATGGAACTGGCTCATATGGTACACAAAATATTCATCGTAAAGCTTCAGAGTACTCTTCTGAAATGGACACTTCATCACCACAATGCAGTAGTGCTGAAATTAATCATATGAAAGCTGAGGTGGAACGTTTGCAAAAGAACGTGGCACAACAGAAGGAATTTCAACAACAAGCAGAACAAAAGCAACAAAAAACAGATGATGTCATCCGTGCTTTACAAGAGCAGATTCAAACTTTAGCTCGTAATAGGTAGAGTTCTTTTTAAGATGATGGTCGGTTTTAATTAGTCATTTGATTACTAGTACTCTTAAAGATGTAATCACTATTTGAGATATTATTATTGTTACCAGGAGGTTGGACAACCCATTCTTTATAATTTATAATTTTTATTATTATTTGAGACATTACTATTGATATTAATCGTTGTTATGATGTAGTTGTACTGTTGTATGGTTTAAAAATATTATTTTATACAGGTTGCAACAAAATGTAGGTTGTTATATTTTTTACAATATATGTGCAAGAGAAACTTGCAATGAGCATTTATTGTAGTTTGGTCATTAACATCGCAACAAAAATTCATTTCATTGCACTTTTGCAACGGAAATTGCAATGAAAAATAAACTTAACTACGGTTAAATTCATTGCAAATTTGCAACGAAATTTGCAATAATGTATAAAATTTTGTTGCAACATTGCAATTGAAATTGCAACTACATTTCCGTTGCATTTTTTGCAACGGAAAAACTCATTGCAATATTAGCTATGGAAAATGCAACGGAATATGATTGTTGCAAACAAAATGCAATGGAAATACATGTGTTGCATTTTCCGTTGCATATCATTGCAATGGATTGAACAAGCGTTGCAAATAATTGCAAGGACGTGAAATGCAACGGAATTTTGTCCATTGCATTTGTTGTTGCAAAGTACAAATTGCAACGGAAATTGAACATTTTGCAATGGAAATGTGCATTGCAATTCGGCATTTTTCTTGTAGTATCGGAACAAACCGGGATGGTTCGGGATATCCCAAAACATATACGCAGCAACAAAACTACAGCACAACCAAATAAACAACAAATCAATTTGAAAAAAAATTGAAAAAAGCAACAAGACAAACAAACAGTAATTCCTAATATAGCATCCAAAACCTGCCAATATAATACTACATCTGCCCCATAATGGAAGATGCACTTGAGTTTGGTGCGGGTTGTAAGAAAATAAAAGATAAAGTGGTTGTTTTACACTTATAACCTCCACAAGGTAAGAAAAAGTAAGATGAGTCCACAAAAAGTAAAAGGTGAACCTATAGATAAAGGGATAAAGTGAGAAAATAAAAAGTTAGCGGAATCCAATTTAGGAAAGTGGTCATATTTTTGGGACAACCCAAAAAGGAAGTGTATCTTACAAAATGGGATGAAGTGTGTATATTTTTTATGCATTGTAAAAGATTTAACGTATTTTTCAAATCCTAAAAATTTCTTAAAAACATTCTACAAATATGAGAGAAGTGTTGAGAAGTGAAAGCCTAATAAAATTAGGGTTCCTTTAGTTGTAGATTGAAGATAGTTCATAATAAACTTAAAATAATTTAGGATTCTATCTCTTAGAATAAAAAATCCCTATAAAGATAGACGCATTTACGGGCTACTACTTATTGGTAGCACTAATTGGGCTGTAATTTTATAATTACTGGCGGGTATTTGGATTGAAAAACTAAAAGTACTACCTATTACTATTATTTGAAAACGAGACAATGAGACAGGACATGATACACTTCATTTTTCCCGATCCCGTTCTATTTTGAAATAGTTTGGGATAGGTACGGACAACAATAATTCGTCCTAATTACAACGGGACAATTTAGAAACATGACAGGATCGAACAATCTAGAGAAGACCAACACGGGGTCGAGTAATTTGCCCACCCCTAAACGCAGCTCTTGTCAACACGCATAATCCTCATCACCTGCACCAAATAATTCTCACAAAAAGGTAGTAGCAGCCCTAACTCACTAGCATCCTGTGTTTCTCTGTGGGGCACTCATAAGTCACAATTAGGAAATTGTTGTTCATAGTTCATCAAAATAATTTGATCTTAGTCTCAAATACTTTCTCAAAATGTCTCGATCATATTCATATTCTCAAAAATGTATGCCTGGCATATCAAGTTCAAAGTCGTAGTTCACAATCTAGGGTTTGCCTTCAAACTAATTTTGAAAATAGTATTTAATCTCATGTTCAAAATAATCCAATAAGGATACTTCTAACTCCAAAATATATATGTAAATATTCTCACCAAATTACACATTTAAAAATATATAGTTTGTCTCAAAATGATCTTCACAATTTCCCAAATCAAAACAACAATTTTTCACAATTCACAATTTCGATCATAGTAATTAAAATAATTAATTACTCAAACTTCCCACATTCCAAAATTTCTATAGAATCACATCACACTCAAATAAGTCCATCATAGCCGAATCACGCATAAAATTTCATAAAGAATCTTAAATCATAGCTCAAACCCTAATCAATACATAATAGGGGCAAAATAATAATTTTGGTTGCAATAGTCCTTACCTCAAGGCTAGCGTCGAATTCTAAACATGAATCCTAGATTGAGAGTTCACTCACACGTCCCTAAGAAGATATATGATTTTGGGATCACAATTTGGGAGAGAGAATTGAAAGAAAACGAAGAAACAAGAAAAATTGTTAAAACGCGTTTATCAGAAGATTTGGTTGGATGATCACGTTCTAGAAGATTTGGTTAGATGATCACGTTCTTGACCTAAAAAATCTTCTTGGTGTGTTAGAGTTGAAGAGCTGGAAAAATAGACTTTAGGAAGTCGGCATTAGGGTTTTTGGAATGAAGAAATTCATAATAGGCATGTATTTATAGTGAACTTTCGAAGTTGGATCGAACTGGGCTTAAAATAGTGATACACGCCTTGCGTGCGTGCCTGCCATACATGACATGACTGCCACTCATGTCGTGTGTGGCTGGAAGTAGATCCCCCGCTTGATGCACCAAAGTCATAATTTGTTCTATTTCTTCCTCGTTTGGGCCTCCCCTTGGTCCGAAACACTAAACCAAACATAGTAAACTATCCAATGACCTTCTAAACGGTACGGCTCAAAGCTTTAAATATATCTCAAAATTTCAAGGTATTACAGATCAGTAGTTGTGATCTAAGTGAAAATCCAACGTCCAGGAGCGGCAGTCCGAATTTAAAAGTCTATGGACTTTTTGAAAGTCTATAAACCCATCCTTAAATTTAAAATTCAATAAAATTCATTCATAAAAACGTCAATGAATTTAATAGTTCATGATTTTTTTTAAAAGTGCATAAATTAAAAAAAATCATCACAATCCATATTCAATATACCCCTTTAGTAAGGATGATTTTTTTGGATTGAAATTTGCTAGTATTTTCTGATCTGGTCTCGTTAAGTTTGGTCTAGTGTCGTCTGAACTAGTTTGATTTGCTAAAAGGTTGGTCTCTATGTATTTTATAATTGTTCAAATATGATCTGATTCGATCTAATCTGTTTAAGTTCGATCTAATTTGGTTTGATCCGTTTAAATTTGGCCTCGTCTGGTTTGACACGAAAAAAGATTATGAGTGTTACGTACTACACTTATAAAATGAGATATGCAAGTGTACATGATTGTACAATGATAGAGTATAATTGACGGAGGAACGAAAGGCCACGTGTTTTACGTCAGCCTTGAGATTGGGCGGCTGGCAACTCAAATCAATTTGGTGAGGGTGAACCGCACGTGACAAAGTTCCACATCACATCTCTATCCCAATCAAAAAGATCATTATTTAAATCATTCACCTAAACGAGTAGGTAGCTGTTTCGCTTCAACGAACCTTCTTCCTTCTGCCTGCTATTTATCTCTGATTCATAACCCCTGCATTCATCTCCAGCCCTCCCCCCTTCCCCTTTCCATCCAATCACCCCATTGTTGCAAAATCACAAGAGACGGTCGCTTTTGCGCGGCCATCTTCTCACACTTTTGTAACATTTGGGCGTCTTCTTCTCCAGATTGGGTTTTCCCTTCTCTCATTGAACAAGAAAAAGAATGCATTTTTAATTCTATGCACTTTGCCACTAGAATTGAAGCAGAACAAGATTGAGGTAATGTCAAATCTGTGTTTCGTATGGGATGTATTAAATTTTCATTCTTTTAGGTAAATCATATTGCATGGCCTATGAATCATTGACGTTATCTAGATTCTAGATCCGTGGGTACTGAGGTGGATGAGCATTTCTTGATTTTCTTATTCTTCTTTTTGAATGCAGAGACCTGAGCGGGCGGCGCGGATCGGGAATATGACCCTGGAAAACTGCTTGCCTATTCCGCCACCTACTCCGCCGTATCGTCCAAGCTGTTCGACGACGGGTAGATCGCCGATGAGAAGGCACCGCCACTGTGTTTCATCTGCAGATCGCCTCTTTGATGAAGCTTATCGAGCTGATGTAAAGATCAATACGAGAGATGGTCATGTCATCTATGCACATGCTAGCGTATTGGTAAGTTCCTTTTTAAGTTGCACTAATGTCTTCTACCAAAGAATCCACAGATTTAGGATCTGTTTGGTTTATCTGATCTCACTCATTTTGCTTATTCTAGATTCTACAATAACTCAATAAGGCATCTAGCATCTTTTTTCATCACTCTTTGCTTTGAAAAACTAAAAGTGTTGCTCTCATCATGGAGGTGTTTTTGTCTGATTCTAAGCACTTCCATATAAAAGCTGAAGGCTAGATGAAGATGGTTGATTCTTTTAGTAGTAATTACCCAAAATAAGACTAAATGTAAACATAATTGCAAAAATCGGATTAAAACCTAAATCTTTTACAAATAGGACTAACCATTAATTTTATAATCTTAATACCCCTAATCTAATTAATTAATTGCCCCTTGGTTCCTTGGGCAACCAAGTCAGTCTGTTGGTGGCGGGGCAGTCCGGTGGTGGCTCTGATGGCGGAGCTTCGGAGAGTCTCGGCGGTGCAGAACTGGTTGAAAATCAGATCTGGAAATTTTTCCCGGATTCCGGCAGCAAGGCTGAAGAAAATGGCTGGGGTCTGGTGGCAGGGCATAATTGTCCAAACACACATAATTAGTCGTATTTAGGGAATTTCAAACAATATAGTCCTATTTGTTATTTTTTTGCCATGTTTTAGTCCTATTCATTTTTTTAGCTTGTATTGTGTTGATTAAAAACACTTTGGTCAGAAAAGGGCACCAATTTGGTGTAAGAAAAACACGTGGTTGAAAAGTGACTTTTGACAAGCTTTTCTGACACGTGGTTTAATCTGCTAAGTCAAAAGTCATCTCAAATAGGCACTAACTTTTGACTTATTTAGTTGAACTGGATGTTATTCCAAAGTTTTTCCAGCCTTAGCAGATTTAGTCGTTCCAACTCTCAAGTTTCAACCCAATGACTCTCTTACGTAACAGACTATTAGGGTTTAAAGTTGAGATTGTTATTGACTTGATAACTGATTATTCTTATTTCTTAATGCCCATAGGGTGTGGCGTCACCAGTGATCAAAGAAATATTAAGAAAATCAACTAGACGAGGGCAAAATAAACATATATCAATCTCGATCACGGGTGTTCCAGCTGAGGCTGTTCATGTTTTTATCAGATACCTTTATTCGTCGTGGTAAGTTATACATATACCATGTGAACCTGGACAATTTCTTTTCAAGTAAACATCACATCAATAGTGACTAGATCCTTCATTCATGGCTGTTTGGACTGTGTTTTTTTTTGCAGTTATGAAGAACAAAAAATGAAGGAGCAAGTGTTGAGTTTGTTATTGCTGTCACATACTTATGTGGTCCCTCAGCTCAAGAGAGAATGTGAGCGGGTGGTGGAACATGGACTGATAAATACCGAAAACGCGATGGATATTCTCCAGATGGCTCTACTCTGTGACGCCCCTCGGCTTAGCTTCATCACCCATCGGTTCATCTTGAAGAACGTTAAACCGGTTTGCGCTACTGAAGGATGGAAAGCAATGAAGGAAAGTCACCCCGCTCTTGAGAAACAGATTTTGCAGTCCGTCATACATCATGACATTGTAAGTATTATAAACACTTAACTGTGATTTCCTTTAAAATGCACACACGCGCGCACATATGTAATATACACACACATGGAATTGGGGTTTTAACATGTATATTACTAAAAATGTATGTACATAAAATATCACTACTTTTTAAAATATTTCAAAAATGACAAAGTATGTGATAGGAAAAAAAAACCTCACACTGTTCCATATGTAAATGTCAGCACCTTTTAGTTATAAATTATTCAAGTCACCTCTGTATCTTAAATAAAAATTAGTTACATTTTTATTCATGAAGCTCTAGGAGTAGTATTTGGTAATTGCTTAGAAACTTGGGTTTATTCTAACATTACTGAAATTAAATTAATGGACAAAAAGATGACTACATGGTCACAAGATTCACTGCGAAAATTCCATTATATACGGCTATTTTAGCACAAAATTGAGATTTTGTGTTGTGACTAGTATCATTGCAGAAATACTACCACGGGCACTTTGTATTGAAATGATTTTTTTCCATTGTATTTATTATAATAATGTATTTGTCAATTTTTTCAAAAACTACTCTATTTAGGATTAAAACAAATGGAGTGGATGTCTTTTTCTAAATACATTTGGAATTCCACATAATATTATACTATACTAATGCTATTGTTACTAGTATATTTATTATAATGATTTAAACTAATTACAGTTCATATTGTCATTTTTGCTGCTGCTACTACTACTACCACTATATAATACGGAGTAATAACAACAACAACAACAATAACAATAATACTAACTTAATCCTAAGTATTTTTAATTATAGAGGATTAGAGGTGATTAATATGTGGTTTCATTCTCTTGATTTCAGATGCAAAAGGAAAGGGCTAGAAAGACAAACGATAGGAAAACATATATGAATCTGTATGAAGCCATGGAAGCACTTGTTCATATATGTAAAGAGGGATGCCGTACCATAGGTCCACACGACAAGGTGTTGAAAGGAGATGAAGATCCATGTGGACACGGGGCGTGCAAGGGGATAGAGGCACTGGTTCGCCACTTCGCTGGGTGTAAAATACGGATCCCGGGTGGTTGCGTACGTTGCAAGAGAATGTGGCAAGTCTTTGAACTTCACTCCTGGCTCTGCGTTGATCCAGACCTCTGTAGGGTTCCTCTCTGCAAGAATTTCAGGTTGAGAAGGAAACAGATGAAGAAGGATGACATTAAATGGAGGATTCTTGTGAGAAAGATTGTGAGATCCAAGAGCATTACTGGAGCTCCGTTTTTCTCATTGGAATCGGCTTGAAATCTCGGTTGTTTTCTCCCACTTCTCTTGTGTACTAAATGTAATGCTCGTTATTAGTAAATCGAGTATCATTCTTTTTCTGTTTCATTTCGAGTATCATTCTTTTTCTGCTTCATTAAACGCTCGTTTGATAAGGGCCATTTCATAGAAATGGCCTAATGTATATTGACTTTTCTTTTTGAGAAGTAATATATTTGGTGAAACTCATTTCATCATACCAAGTGTGTTGTTACTTTGTTTTTTGCCTGATCTGCCAGATTTTTTTTTATCTAATACTGCTCCGTTATTGTTTATACTTCACTTGCCAAATTGGTTGAAGAGGACACTTTTAGTTCTTTTAATATATTTTTGTATACATTATTTAAAATGCTCTTTGTTTTTATGTTTCAGCAAATTTACCCATTCAGCAATTTCATCAATTTATTAGTGTCATCAAATGGGCTCCAAATAAGTCTGGGGCCTGGGAAGTCGAAAGGAGCCTAAAGGTTTGATGCTCAAAAGTCAAAAGCAAATCTTGTTAAATGGATGCAACGGAATTACAGAAGTGAAAGAATGATCTTTAAAGTTGCAAGAACAGAAAAAATTATCCCGTGAAATCAGGATTATGATGACACCTCGATACTAAATCTTCCTATGTTTGTCTGATTGTCTTCTCATCCCCAATAGCCCAAGCCTTTCTTCATGCCAATGCTAATACCCATTCTTTACACTCGACAAGATTTATTTTTTTTTACAGCCAAAGAATGAGGTATTGATCGGAAAGAAAGATCTGTATGAATCACGACGAGACACTATCAAAGCTTGAGCTTCTGTTATGTTTGGCGTTATATCTGCTCAACACAGGCAAAGAAGAGCTTGCTGGTATTCTGAATGATCTCGACGAATCAGCACCTGTTCTTTCATGCATCCTCCCAACATCTTTGCAGACACTATCCAATATGGACAGGAAATCTCTTACTATCATGAAGATTCTGAAGGGATGTGCGCCCTCTTTTGCCACATCTCCGTGAAAATACTCGGTCACTTCTTTCACTATCAATAACGCCTTCCTCTCTTCCTCATTAATCCTCTTTATTTCATCTTCCGCCACTTTTAGAAACATTTTCATGGACTTGAAAAAATTCCCTTGCATACCCGGTTTCTCATACTGCAACACCAAACGGACTTTCCTTAGCCCGGTTTCAAGCTTGGAGACATAGCCATGTAGGACATCTGAGTCCATTCCTGCTGCTTTCTTGACATTGCCGAGCTCCCGGCTCAACCCTGCGACAACTTGTAGTTCTTGTCTCTTGAGGCCTTCCTCTTTTGGCTTAATGATTGCTTTTTCACTGGTTTGGTTGGAGGCAGCCCCTTCTGATCTGATTATCTCTTGGACGACGAAGTGGAGCAATGTCGTCTTCCCATCCGTCCCTTTTACATCTACAAGTTTTAGAAGAGTTTCGAGCTTGAAAGCCCTCGCATCTCCGCGGTTAGTGCCAGTGTTCATTCGGTTTCCCGCTTTTAACACAGCTTCTAATAATTTGAAGAATAGTCGGCTGTTTTTCAACTCTTTACTTGCTTCCTGATAAAACCGAACATAAATTTCACATCAAATAAAAAATATAAACCTATAATATAAAATTTTGGGCTAGTGACCCTTAAGAGTTTAATAGTAATGTATAAAACTCAAAACTTGTGAGATTTGAAATCCCATATTAAAAGGTGAATCGAATAGATTGTTGAAACTGTATACATTAGTCGTTATACAATGACAAAATGTTGATCGATTGCTCGTTTAAGAATAATCAGCGCTCTTGCAAGGCTTAGCGCTCTTACAAGGCTTAAAGTTATGCTTTAGAAGTTCAATTTTCATTTTTCATATGGCTCATTTTTTAAATGGCTAATGCAAGATGGCTTAATATTAAAGACTTGGGAAGCTAATATATATTTACCTCAAGAGTTTGGAATGACTTCCTCAAGTAGTTTACTTCTGAATCGAAATTTGCTCGGTATAACATTGCTTCCACTCTTTTGAAGGCAAATGGCACATCAAGAACAGCCATGAGGAATCGTTCTGCAGGTCCTAATATTGAGATGTCACCCTTGCGATCTCTTAGCTTTTTCTCTTCGTCCCTCGTTGGAGCCATTTTCACCAAAGTCTCCAAAAGCTCAGGACCCAATCCTTCCGGGTTCCCTGTGACGAAAGGAAGTAAACACTATAAGAAATGAAATGGTATGCAAGACAGTAACTCGAAATCAAAGTGCAGCAGACCATCTAGGAGTGCTTCGGTAACCTCTTCCTTTGTTACATTCAATGCTCTCAAAAGAATTGCTATGTTCTGTGACTTCTTCGGGTCAAGAACTCTGTCGTCTGGCTCGGCGGGATGACGGATTGCGGGTTTGAGTTTCTTAGCAGTTTCGTCCACTGCTGATTTTCCAGAACTAGTCCCAAAGAGTGACTCCATCATGTCCTCATTCAATCTGAATGAATGTACACATACAAGCAGCATAATTACAAAATTTGCATTTATTGCTATTTATACAATCAAATTAGTTTTATCTAATCTCTAACTTTATCTACCAAGCTTTTTCATATTCACACATAGTTTGTTCAGTTCAATAGAACTTTTAATGAAATTTAGTAAATTTAGTTTTTAGCAGTCAATAAAGTTTAAATGAAAAAATAAATAAATCCAACGGACCCAGCCACATACTAAAAGTGTGCCATAAACTTAACACTTAAGCAACAGGGACGGCATCTGGTACTTACTGGAAGGAGCTGGACTTGAGGTGGTCCCAGACGGTGTCACGATCCGACGTCGTACGCACTTTGTCCCAGTGCAAAGGTTTCAGCTTTGGTTTTGATCCATCTATCTCATCTGAATCAGACCTCTCCACTGAACCGGGTTCTGTTGAAGGGCTCTTCTTCTTCTTCTCGCTCTCTTGTGGTGTTTTTGGGCTTGAACTCCTTGGTTCTTTCTTTCCGATTTCAAATGACGGGGGATTCTTCTTCTGTGAAATTCCGGGTGTTCTGGTCACCGGCGGCGGCGGCGGCGGCGGAGGAGGAGGAGGCGGTGGTGGAGGCGGTGGCGGAGGAGGAGGCGGGGGTGGGACTTCTGGTTTGGGTTTTTGCTCAGGTTGTCCACTTATCAATTGAAGCCGAGACATGTCCGGCGGAGGAGGTGGCTGTGAGAACTTAACTCTTTTGGGAATGTACGGCTTCGCCACCGGCGGTCTGTCATAACGGAGATGAGGCTCATGCGGAAGTGGCTGCGGCGGAGCAACCGGCGGCGGTATTGCAGGTTTTGCCTCGGATGAAGAAGCAGAGAGGCGTGATTTGGATGATGTTCTCTTTGAGTAGGGGACGTAACTATTAACTCTTGCCGGGTTCCGCCGCGAAACCGGCGCGTAATACCCGTCGTCGGCAATGTCGTTGCCCAGGACGGAGCCTTGCGGCGTGTAAAAGGCGGTGCCTCGGCTTTCTTCGTCGGATGATGACATTGCCGGAGGAGAAGTTATGTCTGGCGGTGGCTGCGGTTTGCTCAGCGGCGGCAGCGGCTGAAGGTCCGGGCTCGGCCTATACCGTTCGGATCTTAATTTCCGGTAAGGCGACCCGTTGGACTCACTCGCCGCCGACGACCGACGTGAGGGCTCAACTGTTCCGATGTACAGAAAAGTGGACGGCGGAACCGCTGGTTCCTCATTGACCCTCCGGGAGGGAATATTGCCGCCGCCGACAAGCTTTTGAGACACGGCGAGTTGCTTACGCCGGTGCTTGCAGAAGAGGAACACGATTCCCGACAGCATCCCCAAGGTGACAACCCCAACCGACAACACAATCGCCACCTTCTTGACTGGCTTCGAAGGCTGCGGCGCGATTGGGTTTGCAACCGGCGACTCATTTCGCTGGGCCGGCGGCGGTGTCTGCTGATCCGACGCGGCCGGGACGCTGGGAACTTCCGGGAAGAAGGGCTGGTCGGGGCTAGGAGTTATGGGATCAGCGGGAGGCAAAAGCGGCGGCGGCTGGAACAAATCGGAATCAACCGGTGAATCTGGGCCGACGAGAAACAGAGGCTGATGTAGAATTTTCCGGGCAATGAAATCTTGATTTCGGCGGGTCTCCGCGCCGGCGGCGAAAAACGCGACAAGAACGGACAGAATCAAGTACTCAGAGAAGATGGTTCGGGCATAAGCTCTCATTGTTTAATTCTGCAGCTTCTGGCAATTCCTTCTTCCAAATTCATCTCCCCCGGGGATTTGTTCCAAAAAAATCTGAGGGGAGAAAAGATAAAAGAAGAAACTTGTTTGAGCTGCAAAGATCTGTGAATGGTAGAGTCAAGCATTGTTGTCAGCAGTAGCCGCACTTTCTCTTTTTATATTGGGATCCTTTTGCGCATTATTTATATTTTAAGCAATAATAATAACCAAGTAAAGTAAAGTGACCTTGATGATTCTTTGTTTCTGGTTTATTCCTTGGCTTGATGTAGATATATACTGTCTGCTACTCAATATGTGTCGGTTTACTTTCACCTGTTCCTCAAAAAGTACACACCAAAAATGAAGAAAATTGTTTGATTATTTTTATGTGTAGAGTTTTAATTAAAATTAAGGTGGTTCCGGTCTCATAGGACTCCCAAAATTCCCAAATAAATTCCGGTTTTATCTACATGCGGATTTCACTATTGGCCCGTCTTTTGTTTTCGTTCATTAATGATCCTACCGTCTATGTTTCCGGATGAAATGTGAATATCACTCTATCAAAAATACATGAATAGAGTGGGTTTTCCACCAATTTTGAGTAAGTATCCTAAATAAACTACTTGAAATGGCTTGGATTGAATAGTCAACACATTGTCTTTTTCAATGTCTTACTTTATTATTGTTTTTATTGGTTTATTTTAGAAATCTGCCACTTTTTGGTTTACTTGGTTGATACTCATAGTTGGTTTGTGTGATTAGAAATAGGGAAATAGGGAGCTTCTTCTTGTACTCACTATTGTACCCATCATGTCTTCATAGACATATTTTTGTCTATGACCGAAATTCACAGACAAAAAAAAACTCCTCACAGACATGGTGGGTACAGAAGTGGGTACAATAGTGAGTAGAAAAGATTATTTTATATATCAATCCTTACATCTCCTACAACTGGTGGAATAACAACGAGTTTCAGTATGTTAGCGGATATTATCATTGTCAAACCTAATGCTTACGTTGCATTTGCAGGCAAAAGAGTAATTGAAGAAACATTAAAACAAGGGGTTTTGACACAAATAGTATTAAAAAATAGGTAATGGACAAAAAAGAGACCTTTTTTCTTCATTTCCAAAAATGTGACTAAGAAGCACATTCTTTACTAATTTACCCTTACTAAGTTTATAACACGGCACCAAACTATCCATGTAGCGCAAGACTATCACAACTAACGTTTTATTCTACTCTAGAATAATTCATTATTCTTTCAATGTGATCTGTAAGACTATAAATCTATAATATTATTATAATATTTGTTTCTTTAATTATTTTTTTATTTAATATTTTAATATTAATTCTAAACATAAATATTAGGATATGAAAAATTTGTGACAACTATGCAAGTGACCAATGGCTCAATTATTATTATTCCCGTGATCCACCGTCTCAGTTACTAATACGGCTCAAGTGATCAACGTCTTAGTAACTATTACCGCTCCAGTGACATCATTTCAGTTACTACCGCTCTAGTGACATATTCACCATCACCGGCCACAGTGACACATCTGCAATGACATCTCCGCCGCCATCATTCGTATCATTGCCCCCGCCATATGCCGTCGTTGCCGATCACAGTGACACATTTGCAGTGACGCCGCCACATTTACACAACCTTATGTAATACTGCCGCAGTTACACGGCCTCCGGTGACACTGCCACAGTTACATGACCTCCGTTAACACCGCCACAGTTACACGACCTCCGTTAACACCGCCACACTGACACAAACTCCGATCAAAAGTGACATGGCCTCCGGACAAAGTGATATCTCCACAGTGACTCCAGCCACGACCCGCCACCTTCGGTCACCACCAGTCACATGACTTCCCACCTTCACCCACCGCCAACGACCACCACCTGCCACCGCCACTCTCTGGCAGGCAGCCTCACCGGGCCCCTCTCAAGCCCCAACCCCTGATGCCCCACACCCACACTCAGCCCACAGACACCAGCAACCGGAAACTGCCAACCGCCGCCAACCGCTGTCAACCGCTGCCAATCGCCGCCAACCGCAGCCGCCAACCGCAGCCGCCCTAAACAGTGACCCCACAGGCCCCATCCACTAACCCCCCAGCTCCCAGCCCCTGTAAAATCGCTGCACAACACACCCCAGCCCTGCAACCGTTGCATTCCACCACGCCACCACCGTCTGCCGCAGCACTTCCTCTTATAACTCACCCCATCGCAACCCTAGACACCAACATCAGATCCAAAATCCTAATCGTGCCATCTTCGTTGCAATCGAAGCAATCACAGTGGTGGAGCTCCAGATCCGGACGAGTGATTGAAGACTAAGAAAGGAGAAGAAGAAGAAGATGCAAGTCAGGAGCCACGCCGTTGTCACCTTGCCTCACCGTAATCGTGCCATCTTCGCCCCAATCGAAGCAATCGCATAGGTGGAGCTCCAAATCCGTCGTCTGCACGGTCATCGCCGTCGCCGCAGCCACGCCGTCTTCATCTCACCGTCTGGATCGAAGCCCACTGTGTTAGGTCGTGTGGCTAATGGAGGAGGCCGAAGCTTGCGAGCCAAAGACTAGAGGTGTAGAGCTGGGGGGCGGATGAGTTCAGAGATGGAAAATAGAAGGGTGGTAGGCGAATGAGAAACGGAAGAAAATAAACGCAGGGGTTAGGCGAACGGGAAGAACGAGAGGGGTAGATAGATCCGGTCCCTTTTTTGTCTAAATATAAAAAAGGTCTTATTTTTGTATTTCAGAAAGGTATAGGTACTATTTATGTCCTTATTCCTTAAAACAAACCATACCTGATGAGGCACAAAACATATACTCTTGCGTTAGAGTGGTGGTCAATGATGTGAATTATACGTGTTAATGTGATTGTGTTTATGTTTGATTGTTGTACATATCTTATCAATATTTGTTCTATCTCTTCTCATTCTGATCATTGATCCAGTATTTGAATTTATATAAGTTTGGCGTCTACATAAAAGTATAACTTATACTTCCTCTGTTCTTTTTAATTACAACATTCACCTTTTCACGTTTGTCAACGTACACGTGTGACCATATTTAATTCTTTATTAGTAAAAAAACTTAAAATTTAGATTACAAAACTTAGTAATGAGACGAATTCAACAATATTTTCCAAAAACAGTAATTCACATTCATTAATAAATAAAATATGGTCAAAGTAGAAAAAACGAATAATGTATTAATTGTAACGTTGCAATTAATACGATACGGAAGATAGTATCACGTAGATCCTAGATTTCAACAATCTCAATATAATAACGATAAACAATGAGAATTGAGTAGAGAACATAATAGTCGTATATTAAATATACTGAGAATGATCGTTTTACGAGTACAGAGTATTCCAGTGATCATTGTGCAAGTACAAAGTATTCAATATAGCAGCGAGCCTCTCTCAGAATAATGGATGAAATCGGAGACACGATGATGTTATGGTGTCACTGCGTTGGTGAATTCACCAATGAGTGGTCTGATGTAATTGATTTTATTTCAAGTTACGTAAATTTGTTTGAATTATTTCGAAAAATTCATGTCTAATGTTAAGTTGTGCCAGACCTATTGATTTTTCCCCATTCAATTGTATGTATATCAATTGTTTTTTCACCAAAACGTCAGCTAATATATGTATTTATAGTAATTAATATCTGAGACGACATTTCTCTATCACAATTGAAAACTAATATAGAAAATATAAAAAATAATTAATTTTTTGAAGAGACAATGTAATCTGAATACAAAAAACACACATTCTGCACTTACATTGTTTATTGAGATTTCATAGGTGACTGCAAAAACAGTTGTGCTATTTATACTTACAATGTGATGAATAGTAGTATCTATGTATATTTTCTACTTTAATTGAAATTGAAATGAAACGATGAGATATTGTTATGCATTGAGGTCATTACATCAAAGAAGAAGAAATACATCTTAGGCGAAAGCACTCACCCTTACCGGATGAGTTGTATGCGATTGTATGTTATTTTAGTTAGTTTCCCATAATTACAATGTTTTATTAATTATACAAAGTTGCTAAATCGGTTCCCATAATCACAAAGTTTTATTAGTTATATCGAGTTGAATTGCATTGAACAACTAAATTTTGGAAACCGGAGGACTTTAAACAACAATAATTTCAATACATATCTACATTCAAGACGTAGGTGAAAGTTCTTGAAACAGGATTAAACATGTTTTGAATTTTCAAAATATGATTGCTGTATTTTTCTCCATGAAATAGAAGTAGCATGATAGTGTTTACTGTCATCTTGGAGTCATTATTGTCAAAATAGTTGCAGTATTACGCATTAATTAACATTATTATTTACTGTCTTTAATGACAGTTCTTTCCACTCATGGCAGTAACGACTCTCATTTTGGGAAGAATAACATAGTAGTTCTATTTGAGAATTCCAAAACATATTTATTCATACTCAAGACAATTTCTCAAGAAACAGTTGTTATACACTGTTTTGTTTATGGGGGGGGATGATGATCTGGCGCTCAAAGGGGAAATCGGCATTTTGGCCGGCACTACTGAAAGAGATTGGAGCCGAGATGGATGCTCTATTCGATTCGGCTCCATCACTTTATCAAGAAGATATCTTCACTCTGCATCTGATGCTGAGACTAATGAACCGCAAATGAAGATCTGCGATTCAATGGAGCCATCTGCGATGGCGATACCTCACTTCAGGGGCCTCACACAGATGCGGACTTTTCACAGGAGACAGAGCGGGCGCAAAGCAGTGTCATTCGAACCTTCACCGCCAGACCTCCACGGGAGAGGAAGCCATTGCGACATTGATGGAGTTCGCAAAGATATTGGGCTCGAGAATGAGGGCATGCGACTGGCCTGCATCGATCACAGAACGAACCATCAGGGCGACAACGTAGATGGAGCTCCTCATGGCACCCTACAACAGAACGAACACTTCGGAGATCTACAGGACTCATCTGTGAGAGGAGATGTCGATTCTCAGGAACTTGGGACTCTCCTTTTCAGGGGTGCAGAATCACTACTCACTCAAGGAGACCAACAACTAACAGGATTAATAGGTATCATCACTTGGACGACTTCATTTCCTCTAATTCGAATGGGTTCAGTTTTTTAATCGAAGGCAAATCCTTTCGGTTCAATATTTTTTTAT